CCTGTCCCGTAGCTGGCGAAGTAACGAGTCATACTGCTCTCCATTTGGGCTAACGAGTGCCAGCTGTAGGGTTGGTGCGTTCAAGGGAAAAGGAAACAGAGAACAAGTGGTTGTTGCTCTTGTTAATCAAAGCAGATCCTTTATCCAATGAGTTGCAAAAAGTCATGCACTTTTGGTGATTGCTTAAAGTGAGATTGTTTTCATGAGAGACAGTGACAGGAATTAAAAGTAAACATCGATTGGGACCATTTTCTCTCAGTTATGACAACTCTTATAATTACTATGTGATTTTCAGTAAAACGTAAACCAAGGGGGAATGGCCTAATCAAGAGTTGCCCTACACACAAAATGCAGCTGTCTTTTTTCCCATGAAACACTTCAAGGTTACATATGAGACACAATATTGACTAACTAAGATTAGGATAGTAACACAAGTCAAATACAAACAAAAGCACTGCTCATTCTACTTCAGCACACATGTTAAGGCATGTTGAGCTGTTTATACTATGTTACAATTAAAAAGGATAGTAATTATTGTATTGCCGTATGTGAAAAATGTGCCTTCCTATTGCAGAACTGTGGTTTAATTGCTTATAAAAACTCATAACATTGGATAACAGCCACAATTGAGAAAAATATAAATGTTATGCAAATGTACATTGTTTGTTTACTACTAAGAGAAACAGTACACTTAAGTGTCCCTGAGACTCCTGGTTATGATGGTGTTATTAATATTAAAGAATATGAAAAAACAGGTTATTGATATAAAGCTAATTGATGGAGCATGGATCAAGGTTTCTATATTATTGTGCCAAAAGTGTGATGTCAAATGAATAATATCAAAAGAAGTCAATAAAAGTATACTAGAAAACTATTCAGAGCTAGACCCAAGCAGAATACATTGACAGGAGCCAAAGGAAGAAGGGACTGCACCTGATGCAATCCTGAGCAATCTGCTTGAGGGTCATGTTACACCATTGTAATGTGAAATGTGACCCTGGACACAAACCTAATTACTGTTGCCCTCATACAGGTCTACATCCATGTAAAACTCATTTGACAGGTCTTACTACTTAGTCTACCCTATTTATTTTTCTTAGGCGTTCTTGCTGGTAAAGGTCCAGCAGGCAAGCCTGACCTTTATCTTGTTATCTTCTGTATTTCATCATTGTATGTGTTTGAATTGGGTTGACACAGCACGTCAAGCCAATGTTATGGTCTGTTTGACAACACAGTCTTACACGTTGCTCTGCCTTGCTTTAAACAGTAGCAGAAACAACATATATGGTTGTCCAGACATGTTTTGGCAGCATATGGTGCAATGAAAATGTGTTTCGACTGATTAGTAATTCATGTACTGTTAGCGTTAGGTCAGGTTGCTACGTGCCAAAGCATCAGCTGGGGCTAGCGTTAGCCACAACTAGCTACTTTACCATCAGCAAAAGCAATAACATTACCCTGAGTCCAAAAAGTCAGTCGTTTATACTATAGGGTACTAAGGGTACTGAGTAATTGCAGATTGGAGCAGCATTATGTTTGGTAATAACATGGTAGTTCATGCAATAAACACATCATTTATTTCATTCATTCATTTACCAGGAGCCGCTAACGTTAGCCTTACACCGCTATGACAGCCAGGGCCTACCTTGTTGGTGAAGTCAACAGGACGGTCCTCGGGCTCGCCATTGAACATGTCCCCGTCATCGAAGCACTCATCCCCGGCGTCGTCCTCGCATCCTCCCCGGTCCGGAGCAAATATGCTCGCAGGGACCAAAGCATCAGCCAACGCTATGGCGCATGGGGTTAAACCTGGCTCATGAGCCGCTGCTATTGATGCCATCTTATGTCAGCGTTGCAGAGATAAATGTCAACCTGTTCCAATTGTTGTGATGACTGCTGGCATCAAATCCGCATAGAAGCAATGAAAGACCCGGCAAGCTCTACAAGCTACAGCCACAACATAGATAAGGTCAGTCAAACTGTCTCCTCACTTTAGCCATCCTCTGCTTATTTATATGTTGTTAGTCGGCAACTCCGCATTCAAACCATTTAAAAATCAAATATCCACCAGCACCTTATCAATATTCATGAGGGAGGTGTGTGTGTGTACAGGCCTTTTTACTTCTTATCACCAATAGTAGTAAAGTAAATATGAATATGTTAGCAGTGTGCCAATAGCAGTCAGGGGGCTGTTCATATTATTACAAAGTGGACCCGTCCCTCTGAAGCAGGGCGGGTTATGTTTGAAATGGTGTAATCAGAGTGTAACACTCATGTAGCCTAATGCTGATGTAATAATGAAAACAATAATACACATAATTTCCCTGTGCCTGAAATGTTTTTTTTTAGCTGTGAAACATTAACTCTCCTGCCTTATGAGTTTGCTTTGACTGAAATAGAAAATACGTTGACAACAGTTTGATAACTAAAAAAAGTGTATAATAAAGAAATATTAAATAAATAATAGGAATTCCTCTTACACCAGCAAGAGTGCCTTAATCATTAAGAAAGTAAACAGCACTAGGATATTATAATTTACTAAAAGTAACTAGAACTGCCAAATAAGAGAACATGATGTAAACCATGGTTGGGAAAGCAATTCAAATTTGTGTCTTGGCGGGTCAAATTTCACATTACATTGGTATTGCATTTTCAGAAAGCAGATTACCCAGGGTTACATCAGAAAAGTATTCCTATTAACCTTTGGCTCTTATATCAATTTCATCGATTTTTGTCCACCTCTGATAAACTGTGCAATATACTTTGATACACTTTTCTATGTTTACATGTGACATCTGTGGAAATGAAAATGGTGACGTTAACCTTGTCTTTCTACCCTTTAACAATTGGTATCCTGAAGTACTGTAATCCTTGAGGAAACAGATACTTTAATGTTACACTGAAGTGTTTTATAATCTTTGAGAAAACAGTGCAGGAAGAGTGGGGGAGTCTATGGGAGTCTATGGCTTCAAATCTATGTGGTATTGAGTTTACTGTATGTAAGTTGCTTTGGATAAAAGCGTCTACTAAACAATATGCAATAAACAGCCTTTTCTTCTGTTCTACAAATACCAATTGGACCTGCTTGTGAGTATTAATAACACATCCCAAACAGTTACATTTATTTAACAAAATCAACTGTAACAAATCTGACATATTTTCTAGTGATTGTGTTAAATAATGTCAGGTCAGACAATTAGACTCAGGTTCGGATTGTAAAAATGTAAGTAGCATGTTGGATAAAACATATCTGAATGTTACGTGTGAAGTGTCAGTGCTCTTTTACTTTCGATTTCTTAAAAATTAAAAATACACATATGCATCATCAGTCAACCATCAAATGTATTGCAGTTGCCCTCTGTGACCACTGGAGGGCAGTGGAAAATAATATTTCTAAATATACTCAGGTTAAAACTAAACAATGTGTGTGTGTGTGTGTGTGTGTGTGTGTGTGTGTGTGTGTGTGTGTGTGTGTGTGTGTGTGTGTGTGTGTGTGTGTGCGTGTGCGTGCGTGTGTGCGTGTGCGTGTGCGCGTGTGTGTGTGTTCTTCTTCCTGTGAAAGGATGGGTTGTGATAAGATCTGCTGACTTTCTGAAGACTTGTCTTGGGATAAGAACACAAATGAGATCTCTGTGCCATATTGAACTTTTGATCCAAGAACTACTAAGATCTACTTGTGGCTACCCATATTTAATATTCCCAGACACATCATGTTCCTAGATTCATCTACAGTTGATGAAGCTTTTATCAGGCCAAGGTTTGCCGAGAAGGAGTTAAGTGTAGGCCCCGCTGTGGCCTGGACACTGCCAAATCCTTGAATTGCAAATGCCAGAGCTGAGCTAAGTTCCACGGATGTGTAATTCCAAGCTGGAGTGTAATTGTGAATGTGTCGTCAGTGAACATAAGTTAAAACAGATGGCATGTTAGAAACAAATGTCATCAGAGTGTTGACCAGCGGACATGATTATAAACACTTCATTACCCTAAGGCCAACACTCTTGCATCCTTCAAAATAGCTCTCAAAGCTCCCTTATTCACTCTAGCTTTCATCATCATCTGATTTTGTGTAAAGCATCTTTGAACATGAGGAAAAGCGCTATAAAAATCTACGCGTATTATTATTATTATTATTATTATTATGAATCCAGATGTGGAAACTGTCAACTCTGAACCATACTGGGTGGGGTACTGTAGTTTTGAAAAAATTGATAATTGTAGGGTCATATTCTTACAGAAGGTCTTTCTCTATCAAACAAACCCTATGA